CATTCACTCTCCCCCCAGAACGAGGAGTGTGGCCGGCGGCTTAGTCCCCTGGCGCCTTCCAGTGACAGCTTGGAGGTCACGTCTGTGTGCCGACCCCGCGTGAGCGTGGGCCCACCTGAGGGTGGCTGTGACACTTCTAGCAGACACAGCTGTTTGCCCGTGCCAGGCTGGCCTGCCGCACGCACGGAGGGCCGGGCCTCTCTTCCAGCGCCCGCGGAGTGGCCACCGGGCAGGAGGGTGGGGAGTGGGACGGAGCCTGTCTGCCCTCGGCCCAGCTGGGACGCACCTTCCCCGAAAGCCTGAGAGACTTTCTTGCTGGAAGTGTTTTGCCCCTTCCCCGGCTTTTCCTCCGTTTTCCACTTACAGGCTTGGTCCTTGTGCCCCTTCCATGTCTGCCTCGTTTCCTCGGCTGGACTGTGGGGACCTGCAGGCCAGGGTCAGCTCTCAGTTCACCTGTGCGTTCCTGGAGCCCCCTGACCTGGTTGGGGTGCTGATGGCAGAATGAATTCTGAGGTCCAGTGAATGGCTGTGACCGTGCAGGGAGACGTCTGTACCCACCCCGTCAGTGCGGGCCACGCACCCACCACTCGTTACACTGCACTCACAGTCACCTCCAGGACGCCTAGTGATCGGACCAGAAGCCACATGGGCTTGGAGCTGGGTTCCAGGCCAGGGTTTCCTGGCGCTGCTGTGGGAGGCCGTCAGATGTTCTGTGTTGGAGCTGGGGAGCGCCAGGCAGCTGGGAGGTGGCTGGGACCTTCACCCCTCTCTAGCCAGAGCAGCTTCCATTTTTCCAAGTCATTCTTTGCTAGAGAAGATACAGAAAACGCTCTGAGAACGCCAGGGTGGCCGGCCCTTCCCTTCTGGCGCAGGGCCTCGTTCTCACTAGGAAAGTCGTTTCAACTCTTACATGGGAGTTGCTTGGTTAGTTTGACTGATGGAGCCTAGAGAAACATCAGGGGAACCAACTTATTGCGGTAAAGTTAGTGACAACAGACAGGATATTTTCCGTGCGTTCAGGTGCACACGGCCTGGGACTGCTTTCCATGGGGGCCCGGGGACGCTGGGGTGGGGGGGCCTCTTCCAGGGGAGGCTCTGCCTCCCCTAGGCCTGGGGCCTAAAGAAGAGGGTCTCCCAGAGCGGTGGTGGCCCCACAGGCACCCCAGTTTCACACAGATAGCTGCGATATACTGTTTCAAGGTGAGCACTTCCCAGTTGATAGTGGACAGTATGAAAGGACTTGTTTTATTTTTGGGAAAACTCCCCCCAGTTTCTTTTACATAGGCGGCTGTGAGGTTGGTTTTACCTTTTGGTTTAATGAATCTTTAATACTTGACTGAGAGGCTGGAGTTCCGCGGAGAGAAACTTAAAGTGTTGGGAGCTTTGCCCTTTGAGAATCTGTCAGAAATGGAGAAAAAGCATCCCGAAACTATAATCACCGAGAAAAACAGGATCGCAGCCACCGCAGCTCTGCACCAGCTGCGGCCTCATAGGATGAGGGTGTCTGTGTGCGCGGGGTGGGGCCGCCTTTCCGGACCTTGCTGCCTCCTGACCCAGGGTTTCTCTGATAGGAAGTCTCTCCCGTCACCCGCCCGAGCCCCCAGCCTCTGCTCCCAGATAGATGCCCGCCTGTCTTCATAAGGTATCTTCTCCATACAGCTAGAGCGCTTTTGGCCGCTTGAATGCTCCTTGTTCCGAATCCATGGGGCTGCTGGCAGCCTCCCCAGCTTCCCATCACCGGGGTGGGGTGGGGTGGGGTGGGGTGGGGTGGGGCCTTAGTTCCCATCAGGAGCACAGTTCTAAACGGCTGGGGGGCCGGGGGGCTCCTCGCCTCCGCCTTTCCCTTTCAGTTCTCTGTTGCTGGAGGTGTTTCCTGTGACCAGGCTCTTCCTCTTAATACCTCCCTGGTACCTTCCAGTTCCAGGCACAGTGCTTAAGAAGCAGCACTTTTTCGACACAGGATGCAGAGGCCTCAATTTTTGAATCACAGAACCAGTTCAGAGTATCTGTCCTGGGCCCCTGCCGCTGGGCAGGTGAAATACGTCTCTCCGCTGTGTGTGCGTGTGTTTTTTCACACGAGCAGGATTTACAGTCAGTGTGTGTATTGCAGTTTCCTACCTCGGCAGCACATGCGCAGCATGTTACAGACTACGCTCTGGAGAGCAGCCTGCCTGCCCCGCCCCGCAGCCAGTCTCGGGGGTCTTGTGTCCTTCTAGAGGCTGTCCGGGCTTCTGGTGAGCATGTGTAGAGAGACTCTTTTAAGCCATGCATGCTTCGTTTCACACCCTGCATCTTTTGCTTAAAGGTGTCTTGGAGGTCATTTCATCCCTGTGGGGCTTGGAGTTCCTTTTCACCATTGCGGAGCAGTCCTGGAGCGGGTGTGTGCCAGGGCACAGCTGCTGGACACTTAGATTGGTTCTGGTTTTCTTGCTCTTTGCCAGTTCTTAATGCCTTTCCGATGTGGGGGCTCTCCTATGTGTGACCGGTGACTCGGGACTGAGAGTTCTGTATTTCAGTCCCCCTCCCCCCCCAAGCACATCAAACTGCCTAGTTAGCGTGTCCTTACATTTGACACTGAGCACAGGCAGGCTTGGTGGTATTTGGCTTATGTTTAATAGGTGTTTCCACGCTTTGCATTGTCCCCACCACTTTAGGGAGCCTTGGTGTCCTTCAAGAGGATCCAGTGGCATTTTTTCCAGGACTGTGAGCCTGAAATCTGACCATCCAGACCCAGGGCGGTGGAAGCATAGTCGCTCCTCCTTGCTGTGCCAATCTGTTTCTGTGGTGGCGGGTGGCGGCACTGTATTAAATTTGGAGACCCCTGTTGGTTTCTCATGTGGACCTGCATATGTCTGTGCGCGTGGGGGAGGCAGCGTAGAGGGCCCCTGGGCAGGCCTCGGCTGCCCGCAGCAGTCGCCTCGGCATGCCGGCTGCACCGCCAGAGGTGAGGTGGGTTTGTCTTCCAGACAGCCTGTTCCAGGCTCAGCCCCCCTCCCTCGGACTTCTGACGCTCTGGCCCCCTCCCACCCCCACCCCGGGGCCCTCGGTGCCTTGCTGGGATGGACCTCAGAGCCCGAGGCGGCTGGGTGTCTCCAGACTGTGCTCCTTGCCCTCCCTGCAGCGCTCCTCACCATCCCTGAGCTCCCCACGAGAGGCCGGGGGTCGGCTGGGAGCTCACCGTCGGCTGGGGGCCCCTGCCTTCAGGCTTGGGGCGAAAGCCAGCAGAGGCTGCCGGCTGGTGGTCGCCCTGGCTCAGTAGGGTCCTCTCTGAGAGCCGTCCGTGCCCTTGCGTTTCTCTGTAAGTTTCCTGTGTCTGTGTGATTGGAACGAAACATCAACTTTACTTTTTTTGTCATTTTCAGTATTGGTTCCCCCTCCCCCCTTCTTGAAGTCTCCTTTTATAACTTCTTCTGCTGGTGCTTAAATATAGATGTCTAAGCTCTCCTCCTTACCAGATTGTTTATATTTTTGAAAAGCCTTCTGCTTATCTGATTGCTCTCTCTTCTCTTCTCTTTTCCCCCCACGTTACCACATTGGTTTCGGTTGCTCTTTTTCCCTGCCTTCACTTGTCTGGGATGCGTTTCAAATGTGGTCTATCAAAATGTGCAGTGTTTCCCTCTTTACTGCAGTAGCTTTGACATCTGTTCTTGAATTCTAGCCCACGTTATTCTTTTGGACTTGTTTGCCCAAGATTCGCTGCCATGCCAGAAAAACGAAAGGGGAGAATGTGGTGTGGTAGTACCCCCCACCCGCTACTTTGTCCCCCCTCCCCGAAACTGCCTCCGATTTCCAAGTTGACAGCACACCGCATGCTTGTTCCAGCACTCTGTCAGCTCGTCTGGCAGGGGCCCACCCGTGGCCATGCGAACGAGCCTTCGCCAGCAGGGCTCGCAGACCACTTGGTTCCTTCCGCCAAAAAAGAGAGCAGGTGGAACTCCACGAGGTGGGCGGAGGGTGGGTGGAGGAAGGTGGGCTTCCCGGCGCCTGTGGGTGGGGCTTCACCTTTGGCGTCCTCCCCGCCTCCCAGCCTTCCATAGGGTGCTTGCTCTGCTGGGCTTCGGGGCGGGGGCCCCCAACACCCACCCAGAAGCCACTGCAGAGTTCCAGAGTGCCAGTGGGCTTCCCAGGGCTGAGGAGTGTGTGCCCACTCCTGCTGCCAGCCAGCTGGGACCCCTGCCCGGGCCCATCTGTGGGTGGCTTGTTTGAAGTAGACCTTTCGGAGGCCCCTCCTGGGATTTCTGAGGCAGGGGCCCAGGTTCTCAGCTGCTGTGCCTGTGGGTCTTGTGTTGCTGAGGTTTTTCTTAGGGGGACCACCTACTGGTTCTCAGAGTTTCCAGGCGACCAAAATCGTTTGGGGGATAACTGCCATTTCCAGGTGCCTCATTTCCAAAGTTTACAAGATGTTGAAAGTGATTATTCTTGGACTTTGGCTTTTAAAGGTCTCTCTTGAAAATGAGTAACAGGTTAATGTTAATGGTCCTGAACAGGCCTGGCCTGTTGTAAGCCCTCAGTAAATATCTGTTGGATGAAGCCAGGTCCAGTGTCACTAAGGCAGCTTCTGGCCCAGAACTGTTGGAGGACAGCTGAGCAGAAAGGCTGATGAGCAGCCCAGAGCAAAGCCGAGGGCTGAGGCGCAGAGACCCGGGAAGCGAGACCTGCTCCTGCTCGGAGCAGACTCTGAGCGGCCCCAGGGCGGGGCAGCCTCGGGGCTCTGGCTGACCCTGGTGTGAGCACAGAGAGCGTGTCCTTGCGTTCTGTCGTGGGAGCAGTCATCTGTGTGGCGCGTGTCCTCACAGACATGGCCGGCTAAGTGAGTTTGCCTCCTTGCAGGGCCCAGGGCGGTGTCTCCCTTTCCTCGTTGCCCCTGCCCCCCTCCCCAACCCCCGAGTCCATAATCCCGGGCCACCGGGGCTCTTCCAGCGCTTGGTCAAATGCAATTATGCTCCCCTGGTACAAAGCACAATTACAAACTTGTCTTTTCTTTCTGTTTCTCTCGACAGAGGGAACTCGATGCCACCGCAACAGTATTGGCGAACCGGCAAGATGAAAGCGAACAGTCCAGAAAGCGGCTTATCGAGCAGAGCCGGGAGTTCAAGAAGAACACTCCAGAGGTGAGCGGCTGACCGCACGGTCTCTTTGAAGGAGCTCACTGTCCTCGCGTGTATTCAGAAGAATACTGGGAGCGTTTCGCTCCTGTCACAGTCTGCAGCTTCCTTCGCTGGTCCTCTGCCCCATCCTACACTCCACTTGCCTCTGCTGGCCTGGGAGCACGGGCTGGGACCGTGGGTGTCTGGCAAACAGAGGCACAGACTGAGTCAGATGCAGACACTGAGCAAGCGGGTCTTTGACCGCTTGTGGCCAGTGTGTGGCCAGTGGTCCTTGCACCGTGCCCATGTCTGTTAGCATGCCACCCCGAGACCACAGGTGCGTGAGTGCCAGGACGCGCTGGGGCAGGCAGTGTCAGGGGCTGTCCCATCTGAGGAGCAGCGTGCCGCACGGCGCTCGGCTAAGCAGACGGTCCGCAGGGCCTTTAAAATGCCTCTGTGCTTCCTGAAGTATGCTCAAAAGGGCACTGGAAATGTGTTCTTCATGCGTGCCTGTGTTTTCTTCTTGTCAGTATATGTGCAGGGGACGGTGTGTAGTGTAGTGGCTGGGGCACCATTTTCCCGGTCCGTTTCCTTGGCACCTTGTTCCCTCATCCCCTAGCAAAGGCTTTTTAGAGATGAAAAAAGGGAGTTTACGGGCAGTGGGAGCGATAGGAGAATTGCTTTCCAGAAGATCCTGTCAGCCTGACCCATGACGGTTCTGGGGCGCTAGGCCCTCAGCCAGCCTCCTGCACCCCCCCAGTCAGGTGTGAGTGGGTTTCGCGACGGGCAGCCTCCACCTGGACTCCCAGGCCTCCAGATTCTTCCACGGAGGACATAGGAACAGGCCTGAAGGGCAAGCTGCTTTCCGAGAGGGATGCTTCTAACTTTTACAGCATAATGTTCATTCCTGAAAAATGATGTGGGAATTGAATTCTTAAAAGTGGACTCATTTTAAGTGTTCCAAAGGTGCTTACTCATCCTGGCAAAGCAAGCAAACATAATTCTTTAGAGTCTGTGGGAAAAATACACTGATTGTCAGAGGGAACTAGGTGGATGGAGGTGGGAGGACAGGGCAAGGAGGCGGCGAGGTCGCTGGCCCCGGAACTCTGGCGGAGGGGGAGGGGAACGCGGCCCGCCAGGTGAGGCCACGAGGACGCACCCTGGAGTTACAGGCACGAGGACGAGCGTCAAATTAATATTAAATAAAATAATAAAATAAAATACAACCCCATAAAACTGGTCAAGAAAAAAAAGTTGGAAAAAACACAAAACGAAAAAGCCCCAGAGGTGCTCACTGTTGGAGGGAGTGCTCTTGCCATTGTGAATCATTCCGGGAGGCAATTAACTATTTTCAGAATAATTTTGGCGAGAGCTTGGTCATAAGGCTGCTGAATCACAGCCGAGAGAGACGGCCCGAGGCAGCCCCCGAGGCCTGACACCCTCGGGTCGTGTGCCTTGTGCGGACAGCCCTCCAGCGGCGCAGCGTCCCGCAGCGGGCCCCATCCCTGTGGCCCAGCGGCTGCCAGCCGTCCTAATGCCGTCGTGTTCCCTGACGGCAGGTCGCCCCAGACACCTGGGTGATGCTGGCACGGTGACACTGTGGCTTCGGACGTTTCGTGCGTGCGGCCTGTGAGTTTGTCAGGATAGGGCCCCGGTGTCCCGTGCCCCGACAGCTCTTAGCCTCTCCACCCCACCCTGCCCTCGAGCGTGGACCTTCCGCGTTTCGCCAGGCCACTACTGCGCTCCAGCGGCTGGCTGTCCTCTGCCGGCCTGTGTTCTCGCTGCCCTCTCCTTGATGACCATGCGAAATCTAAAAAGGAAGGGCAGAGTCACCCACCTGAGGTGACAGACAGTGGTGAAGCCACCAGAGAACTAGATTCTGGGTGTTCTGCTGGAGTCCCAGACTCCCACTAGCTGCTAAGAGTGATGCCCACTGAGGAAGAGCATGTTCCTCTCCAGCTCCCTGGTTTGCAGCTCTTGGGCAGCGATGAGTGGACCGAACTGGGCCGGCCCCTCCGGTGACACCCAGGCACCTTGCTCTGTAGAAACTAGTTCACGGGGCTCACAGTGCTGAATCCCCGGCCAGTTACTTGGAGGAGCACAGTGGTAAATTCTGCACTTGTCCCATTAGGTAGGCTCTGGGAGGAAGCAGTCTGCTTGGGATTGCCACCTGGGCTGCTCTTTTCAGAGGTGCCCACTCCGGCTCCCGCTGCCACGAGGAGAACCTTATGCAGCATGAGCTTCTGGCAAGTGCGGCCGTTTGGAGGGGTTTGTTGTGTCCCACCCTCAGTACTCCCCTTGGCTTTTCCTACCTGGGTCCATCCTTAAATCTGTGTGGGGCCCCTCTGGGGGCCCTCAGGGGAGACCAGAGAGAGAAGACAGGTTAGTCATTCTGCCAACCAACATTTTCTATTGGAAAATTAGAAGCCACTTCAGATCAGCTTGCCGGCGAGGACATGCGCGGTAGCCAAGGTCCTCTGGGAACACAGAGGGGGAGCTGATGGTGTGTGGGGGGGAGGTGGTGGCACGTACAGGGACTCTTTCAGGTACGGGGCCTGGGGCCCACAGGGGAGACTGGGTTGTGGATTTGTCCAGGATCTTAGTGCAGAAGAACCCAACGTCAGTCGCCGCTGACTGTATTGTGACGGATGGCTTAGTGACGGGGAAGTAGGTAAATGCTTTCTGCTAAGTTCTAGAAACTGGACGCTCAAAAATGAAGGCCTTATAGGACCTTGCGCCCTGACAGGAAGGGAATCACCCTCATCTGGGCACGTAACAGGGTCCTCGAGACTCTCGCGTGGCCGAGCAGGGCCGTCAGCACCAGCCAGGGCCTGTGTCACCCCGAGCGTGTTGGTTGCTCATGAGGCGCTCTTCCTGGGAAGGAAGATGTCCTCCTCAACAATGTTCAGCGTTTGCAGCCTGTTGGGCAGGACCAGGCTGGGGAGAAGTCAGGGGCGAGTCAGGCTGACTCCACACTGGCTCGGCCAAGGGCGGCTGGAAAAACTCAAGCCCAGGGGTCACGTGGGGGCCTCTGGAAAGACCGGCAGAAGCTCAGACACGGTGGCGGGGCCGTGCCACGTGGGACAGCCCAGGGAGCGCAGAGGGGAGTGTGGGCACTGAGCGCCTAGGGCCTCGGAGACTGTGCTTAGATTGACTTCCCTCAAGTTTCAGTTTTGTGCTACTATATTCACTATCAGTTGGTGTTACTGCTTATGTCCTTTTAACCCAAAAAGTGTAGTTAATTTGGAGTTTACAGTTACTTGCAAATAAAGTTTTACGTGTTGTTTTGACTTAAACTAGTCTCTTTCAAAGAAAAACATCTTAAATTTGAATTTCGTAATTAGGCAGGGATTCCTTATTGGCCTCCTCGTCAGTAGCTGAACAGAGAGGACGGGGGCTCTCTGTTTCAGGTCGTACCACTTCCCACATGGATTTTCCGGGTGACGCCCTACTGGTACCGTCGGGCAGGTTACTCAACTACGGAAGTCTCAGTTGCGCCTGCTATAGAAAGTGCAAAGACAGGGCCGGCCCAGGGTCGCGCGTGGTGTGTGCAGAGTGTGTGAGGGAGAGGCAGTGTGCGCGCCTTGGCGTGTGTGGTGTGGAGGGGTGTGTGCGTGCTCTGCACAGATCTGCACGTGAGGTCGGCTTATGCCGTGTTCTCCCGGAACACGTACCGTGGAGAACAGCGATGCAGCTGGTTTCCGCTCCTCAAAGCTACTAGCTCAGGGGCTGTTAAAAAACAGGTAGCTCCAGGCTAAAGTGTTCCGAACGCACGCTGGCTTGTAATGGCAACGGGTCGTGTCACGGACTGATTTGGAACACCCTTCAAAACGCTTCGACCCAGGGGATGAAATCATGTCCCTGTTGCTGAAAAGTCTGTCTTTTCAGCCAAGCCAGGAGAATGTGCTGACATGTGTGCTCACTGCTAGGTGGTATGCCTAGAAGCTTCTGAATGCAGACTTTCCCCCAAAACCCTCGTACCTCAGTGGTGGTAAAGCTCTTAGCCACGCAGGTCATAGTGACCCTTCCTATGATGCATAAACAAGTCTGTTTTTTGAATCCTAGTTGTCAACCTTTAAAATACTGATGAATGTTAGTGACCTCTACCCTGAGAAATGCATGCTTGAGCATGCGCGCGTGCACGTGTGTGTGTGTGTGTGTGTGTGTGTGTGTGTGTGTGTGTGTGTGTGTGTGTGTGTGTAGTTTCCCCCCAGACTGCCCACAACTCTGCCTGGGTTTGCTGCTCCCGAGGTACACATCTGCAGTCTGGGCGGGGGGATGCTGGGAGCATTATGTATGTCTCCCCCTCCAGCCTCCTCCTAATTGTGCCCAGGGTTGGGAGGGTTGGGGGGTGAGGACAGCAAGGCCAGGAACCGTCTGACAGACAAGACTCATGGCCCGGCTTCTGGGTAGGTGCCAGACCTACTGCTCGTTCCTGGAGACCAAGTTATTTCCCATCCGGTCTGCACCGCACTGTCTCGGGTTGATGTGTCTACCTGGGGATTGCCTCTTTCTTCTTGCTGTTCCATTTGGTTAAGTTTTAAGTTTGCTCCTCAGACCAAAGTTTGTCTCGAGGATCCCACAGCTACTTCCTGGCTGAGCCGGGGCTGGGGCCTGGGGCAGACCTCTGGGCCCTGGGGCCAAGCACCCGAGCGGGCACAGATGTGGCCCCTGCAGCCTGGTCCTTACAGGCCCCACGCGCACGGGCTCAGCCATCCTGCAGCCTGAGCATCAGAAGGGGCTTTTCAGGGTGACACTTGCTTCCAGAGAGTCACGGGTGTCTCCGGTTCTTTCGGTAATAGCTACACTGAGGCGTGAAGGGGGACCCACAGTCCTAAAATGCTTTGGTCATTTTGCCATCGTGTCCTCCTTGGGGCTTGTCTCTGACCGGCCGTGTGTCCAGCGCTTACGCCAGCATGTCCTCGGGTGTCTGTCTGTATGGTTTTGTTAGGTTAATTCATACTTCCTATAACGTACACTGCTTCTCTTCTGTGAGTTTTAAAACTGAGCTGGAATTCGGGGGT